CCCAAGGGAATCCTATCAACAACCAACACCGCGAGTAAGAATCACACTGCATTGCACCTCCAACCCCCCGTCCATACAACGGATAGGCAAATAGCTCCAAACACACGTTGCATCCCCTCCTCCCGCCTCCCGCCTCCCGCCTTCCCCCATGTCCTAATCCTCGGCCCCCATGTTCCGCGCGCCCAGCCACGCAACCACACATACGTACTCTGTACCCGCACAGTACACGACACACACACATACGTCTGCATCTGCATCCATCCCCTTCCCAAAAAAAGAGTCCGGGAGAACGCGCACGCCCAGAAACACGAGGAACTAGCCCTTTCCCGCATTTACCCCATTTCCCAACTTTTGTCCTTGTCGTCCCCCTCACCCCCCTCCCCGCATTTGGCCATGCAGCAAAGTATGGTAAAGTAACTAGCTTCTTTACTACGTACTTACTCTAGAACAAAGTGCATATGCCCATACATCGGCAAGTCAACTTTTTTTCTTTCTTTTTTCTTTTTTCTTTGCTGCTTCCCCGCTCATGTCTAGCGTATCCGAGAAAAGAAACATGCAAGTAAGCGAGCGAGCGAGAGATGTGTAGCGGATAGCCAGGTGTATGAGGTATACGATACTTTACTTGCAGAATAGAGAGTGGGGTTGGGGGGGGGGGGAAAGATGGTAAGAGCAAGTCGGGTCTTGGCAAGCTACTGAGTACCGCTCTCTTTCTCTCTCTCTACTTACTTAAAAAAAGCAATCATGTTTCTGGGGTGATGGTGGCGGGCCTAAGTAGTGTAGGACACCTTTTTTTGGATTTCCAAACTTTTTTGGGGTTGTTTTCTTTTCTTAGAGCGGCGGACGCGCGCGCTCGGCGGGCGGGTGCGGTTGACTTTTGCGGCCTGCAACTGAAGAGATGGGATGGGTTGCATGGAATGCATGGGTTGCATGGGTTGCATGGGTTGCATGGGTTGCATGGGGAAGGTGAGCGGAGGGGACGGGGTGGCTAAGTTAGGGGTTCAAAAAAAAAGAGAGAGAGAGAGAAAGGGCCAAGCCAAGTGTGCGTGTGGCTGGTGGAGCTACTTGGCAAGCCTTTTGTTGTTGTGCATCCTTCTGGTCTTGTTTTGTCTTTCTGCCTCCATCTCGAAAAAAAACATGGTCTTACCTTGGATGCGAGATGGTTGCTGGCCCAACTTAGACAGACCAGGTGATGGAGGATTCGTGGGTGGGTGGTTGGTAGCATTACCACTCCAAGTCTAATGGGTGGTGGTGCATTTTCCAAGGCCGCAAGGACGGGAATTTTTTTGAAGGGGTTCGAAATGGGCCAAGCGTGTGGCGTTCTGGCCGCGATACGACGTCATCCGGCATATCTTCACATGGAGCGCGATAGAGAAAGCCGTCTTGTTTTTCTTGATTTGTTTATTGACCTACGTAGGGTGAGTGGGGAACGCGGGATAAATGGTAAATGTTTATGCAAGGCCAGGCTGCGTGACAACGCGATGGATGGGTCATGTGGCTGGCTACGTTAGCGGTGACTGAATCTGATGCGTACATAGCTTATGTGTTTATTAAACTTTGGCCAGTGATACCCACCTTAGGTCAGACGAGGATACTGCTCCAAGCACTGAGCCAGCACCACAAACATACCGATGACATCACAATGCACGATACAAGCTTTGCTGTGTTTTTGTGGTTGAATTACTAGATAGTTTGGCGGGCCTTGGACGCGCTTCTCAAAATACAACATGCCGATCGTCTTGACGGCTGCGACACACGGGAACGCTGGCTCATCTAGGCCCTATGCACATGCCATGTTTTCAACACAGTTGCCCCAGAAAAAAAAACTCCTTGAAAATGCCATATGCGATAAGAAACCGGTATCCGTAGATATTGGAAAACCCTGAACAAAAGAAATCGTTACCCTGACAGAAATGAAAAAAGAAAACTAAGAAAACTTGGTAAATGGTACGGGTCCGGACCGGAGGTTCTCGTTTGTTGCTCCGATCGGCGTGCCCGTTATTGCTTGATTATGCATGCTTGGCGGATTAATCGTCCATGGCTGTCTATGCCATGTTTGCAGCGCCATGCTTCTCGTCCTCGCTCTTCTCAAACATGGTATCCTCAAGCCACTTGGTGGCCCTGGCGCACTGTGAGTCGACGTAGGTGATCCAGAGATGAGCGATCGTGTACTCGACGACGAAAAAGAGGGGGATTGCTAGTGTCCAGACGAGCCAGTTGGTGGTCCTGGGGATGTAGTGGTGAATGGCTTCGCCTTGGCCGTCCTTTGGTTGCTCGACGCGGTATGGGGCTGTGCTGAATCCATAGATCAATCGTGCAAGTCCAACCTTCATGACGGTTCCGTGGGTCAGGTAGACGGCAAAACTATTGCGGCCAACCCACATGAACAGCTTGTTGGAGAAGAGGCTCTGCAGAGAAGGCGAAAGCCAGATTCCAGTGACCATGAGATCCCATCCAATGGCGGTGAAGCGCTTGGGGTAGCTTGCGGCGCCCTGGGGAATGATCCAGTCTCCGAGGTTCTTGAGCTGGACAGACCAGGTCGCCCACTCCCAGTGCTCTCCGGGGAAGCACGCCACATACCAGCCGAGAATGATGAGGAAAGCAGTGGCGAATCGACGGGCCTTGACGCGGTTGTTGACAAAGTCACGGAAGCCCTTCTCTGAGCCGAGGTCGCAAAGGATAACACCGTAGAGGAACTGGCACTCGAAAGTTTCTAGAATGTGTTAGCTGTAGGCAGAGCTGTGGGAGCCAGATGTGACATACCC